CATTGGGAGGTGCTAGGAGGCCTCTGTAACATCACAGAGTACCTGTTGATTTTAATTTTAATTCTGCGGAATCGTTTGCAGGCTTCTCTAAACTGTCGCTGCCGTGCTATTATTACTGGTCTTGATTTGAGTGAAACGCTTGATTTGACGAACTACGTCATCCTTTGAGCGCATGATGGCTCCTGGCATGTCGTGATTCAGAAAGTATCGCCCACGCGTTGGGGTGTTGCCGTGGAAACGCCTCGCTTAAACTTTCCGTCGTGGAGACCCCTCCAAACCCTGGCACCTCCATCGAGCCTCAACGAATCGACAACCGACTACACCATTCGCTCAGGCCCTCGAAGATGCCCGCAAAAGTCGTATACGGAAAGAAGAGGAATGGAGGGCGGACTGCATTCACAACGTTCTTGTCACCAGAGAAAGGAGTTGCGCACAGAGAGAACGAGGAGGAAATTGCGGTTAGCGGCCCGACACGTGACCTCCGGCGACAAACAGAACCAGAAAGAGACGATGTGTCAGTATTGGAGCAAGGACTGAGCAAACTACGGATAGAGAAAACATCACCTGTGGAAGATGAGGGTACGTTAAGGAAACGATCGCGGTCACGCAAAACGAAGCCTGGGCGCAACGAGGATACCACAAAGGAGAATGTCGTCCCATTCGAAGATGCACTGGACGAGAGCATGCAGGCTCTATCTATCAAGGGCCCCAAGGAGGATGAAGTCAATATGCTCAAAGAGCCACGTCGACCGCGAAAGGTGCTGAGCGATCGCAACATCAACGCCTTACACAATGCCTCACACAACGTTGACGAACTGGCTCGATCGATCCCGAAACCGAAGAAAGAGAAGAAACGCGTGGTTCCTACTATCGTCGCCCAGGATATAGTAGCTACACCTGCAAAGCCTCCAGTGCCAACGGATTCAGCTCGTTCAAAACCAGCCTCGACGCAGCAAGCAGCATGCCTTCCTACGCCCGAGCCGACACCTGAACCTGAAGATATATACACCGCCTATGCTTCGCCATTACTGGCGCTCAGTGATAGAAAGAAGCTTGTAGGGTTCCAGGAGTGGTCAGATGAGCTGGAGCCGCACTTCCAAGTTACCAAAATTGCAGAGGCATCGTTCTCAGAGGTATACCGGTTATCTGCGATATCACCTGCGAATGGTCTCAAGGAGGAGTCTGTGCTCAAACTCGTAGCGCTCAAGACACCACCAGCAGTTCCCCTACCAAGCCAGCTACACACTCGTGCGGTTCGAGATCGCGAAGCGCAATTAGACAAAGAGATGGAGCAGCGTGAACAGGACGACGCGTACAAGTCTCAGGTTGATGATGTTGCTTCTGAGGTTAAGCTCCTTCAGAATCTCACTCACATACCTGGATTCACCGTCTTCCGCGACCTCACGATTGTGCAAGGTAGACCGTCAGCTTCTTTCAACGATGCGTGGAAGGAATGGAACAAGGCGCGGCCACGCGGAAAGAAGAGTGAATTCCCCGATCCCAGTAAGAAGACTAGTTACGACGATTACCAGCTCTGGGCTGTAGTGGAGATGCAAGACGCTGGTACGGATGTCGAGAAGATTATGGAGACAGGTGGCATGTCGTCGATATGGGAAGCTTGGGACGTGTTCTGGGGGGTAGCCATCAGCGTAGGAAAGGCAGAAGAAGCGTGCCAGTTCGAGCATCGTGACTTGCATCTCGGCAACATCTGCGTTCGGTCTTCACGTTCAGGTGGAGACGTGCTGCAGCCCTCGATCAAAGACCCTTTGCGACGCAAACTCCGCTTCACTGGCCTCGATACGACTGTCATCGATTACACCCTGTCGCGCGCAGATATCCTCGCCTCATCATCCAAGTCCCGCAGGACGTCTGTTATGTCTCATGTTTCCAGCTCCACGGCCGCATCTGCGAGTGAGGAGATGGTCGACGTCGCTTATCTGGATCTCAACAAAGACCCCGCGCTCTTCGAAGGCGATGCAAGTGAAGAGTACCAATATGAGATCTACCGCTATATGCGCGGCGCAGCACTCTTCGACAATCCGTTACAATACGAGCCGTTGGATATACCGCAAGAGGAACACGTGGAAGAGGAAGAGCCAGAGCAAGCGCCAGTCACGCCCCGCCGCTCACCTAGAAAGAATACGCACATTCGCTTCGACTCAGGCGACGACGAGCCACAGATGCCTCGGCGATCGCCCAGGAAACATGGCGAGGAAACAGTACCCGACGTCGCACCGATACCAACGAAAGAGGAGCCCAAAGAAGACGTCTGGCGTAGCTTTCACCCCAAGACTAACCTCGTATGGATGCACTTTCTACTGCATAAACTCCTCAACCACCTCGCTGCTCTCTCTTCCGCACCACACCACGTTTCTTCTCGTCCTGTCCTTTCTAAACATGGCGAGGTGGATAACAAGAAAGTGGAGAAGAAGGCCATGAGAATGTATAAGGTGTTGCAGAATGTCAGCGAACTACTGTGTCCTGTCGCGCTGGGCAGAGAGGAGAGCCTGGGTAGCGTAAAGGAGTTGGTTGTGCTTGCTTTGGAGGAGCGGTGGGTCAGGGTTGAGGATGTGGCAGGCTGAAGATGTTGATTCCTGGCATTATTGGGAGTTTGGGTGCTTCATTGAAGGGGGATTTGCATTGGGCGGAGTTTGAAGACGTAGCATTGATATGAATCACGAATACGATCAGTCGCATACCTCAAATATGTCGCAGTGAAGACTAGCGGAAGCCATAAGCCCCGATATTCCGACTAAGGATAGTGATTGGTGAGGAAGAAAGCGACCGTTGAGTGCGCATGTGGAAGCAACGGTCATGAAAGCCAAGTCGGCTAGCGCAATCTACCAGTAAGCAACTACATGTCATCTGTCACGCAACCACTCATCATAGAGACCACCTGCACACTGTAAGCATACGCCCGTCATGCGCGTGCGCGTGCGAAAAAGTCTCGCCCCAAGAACCAAACAGCATCGAGTGTTCCCTCCAAAACACTAGAGACGGAAGCCTCGCCAGCCGAAACGAAAAACAGGAAGATAAACGAAGAAACGACCGGGAAGACGGCAACCCGACAACGAAAGCCGAACGACGCCACACCCCCAAAGCCACTAGCCCCCCATCATCCACAGGCCCTCCTTCCATGTGATGCAGAATGAAAGCAGCAGCGAAAGCCTCGCACTCCGCCACCGCAAACGGAAGGCAGAGCCCCCATCCTTATCTCAGCACGTGCGGTCGACAACGGTGCAACGGCGTCCGCGGGTACAAGAACGTCGCAACACGACCCATACGCCGGGTCGCGACACGCCCTCGCTTAGATGCATCGGACGAGGCCAAGGCGTCAGCGTCAATGACTTTGGGTGGAGCCGCGGCCTTGAGCCAATGGCGCGCGGTCAAGCACGGCAAGACTTGCGTCGCTTAGAGCCTTCTCCGTTCTGGCGAGGCAAAAGAGATTAGAGGCGCCGTCTGGCAGTACAAACACGGTGTATACGGTGGGTGGGTATACTACGTGCATGATAAAGGGCTAGGCTGTTGCGAGTGGGAGGGCGCTGCTGGGCTGGGATTAATTAGTCCACCTACCCACGTTGTTCGCCCGCGTTTTCGTTCGTGTTGGATCTTTGCTCTTCTACTGTAGAGTAGACGTTCTGGTAATCCCACATCTTCGTTCGTCGTCCATCGTTGTCTGCATTCTCCGTCCCTGCACATTCGCCCCCCATGCGTTCCCACGCACGAACCGGCCTCATCGCCGCCCTGGCCCTAGCAACGCAACTCCTCGTCGTCGTATCCGCACAAGAAGACCGGCCCAAAGGAAACTTCCGCCAATGTCTCGAAGTCAGCCCCGAATGCCCCGTCTTCGCAACGCTCTACGGGTACCGCCCTAATCTAGGCGCCAACGCCTTCCTCTGCGCCCTCTTCGGCATCCTCTGCATCGGCACGCTCGTCGTGGGTGTTCTGAGCCGCACATGGACCTACACTGCCGCACTGGCCGTTGGAACCTTCCTCGAAGCAGCGGGATATGCGGGCCGTGTTATCATGAACGACAACCCATGGAGCGAGTCTGGATTCAAATTGCAGATTTGCTGCTTGGTCCTTGGTCCGAGTTTCGTTGCTGCTGCGATTTATCTCACGCTTAAGCACTTTGTCTTGTACTGTGGACCGCAACATTCGCTGCTCAAGCCGCGTCTTTATCCCTGGATCTTCATCGGTTGCGACTTCGGTTCTATCGTTCTCCAGGCTTGCGGTGGTGGTATGGCGGCTGCGGGTGGCACAACGAACAAGGCGCTCATCGACGCGGGTAACAACCTGATTGTCGCCGGTATTGCGTTCCAGGTCGTCACCATGGCGGTATGTGGTGGTCTTGTCCTCGTCTACGTGTTCCGGTACCGCAAGGCGAGGAACCAGCAGGCTATGGGCGAGAAGAGCTCGTACGAGATGGACAAGGAGACAGGAACTGTGCGCCTGGCTAAGATCAAGCTGTTTGGCTGGATGATCGTCCTCGCGTACACAACTGTGCTTATCAGGTGTATCTACCGCTTGCCCGAGATGGCTGGTGGATGGGGGAACTCGCTCATGAGGAATGAGAAGGAGTTCTTGCTCCTCGATGGAATGTAAGTTCCACTGATCCAATTCTTGCCGCAAAGACATTATACTAATTTATGATGCAGGATGTTGGCTATTGCTTGCACGGTGCTGACGTGCTTCCACCCCGCGTACTTCTTCCCTCCTTTCGCTGCTTTCCGCAGCCGCAAGTAGATTTTCTCTTCTTCCCCTTCTTCATCGACAGTCTTAGATGTATAGATGTTTGCGTCTGTTGCAGCGGTCACTCCGTATCATATTAGCGTTACGACCTTGATAGCTTTTCCAGCATAGCGATATTTATTATAGACAAGATTTTCTAATTCCACATGACATGAACTACTTCACTGACCAGAGATACTATGCAAGGTGATGCTCGTTGTGCCCATAGAGTAATGCCCTCACTCTTCATGCGTATATCGTGTACCTGACTACACAGTTCCCCACCTCTCAGCAAATCTATCATTCCCCGCATCAACATTCCTCTCATACTCACTCCGATCTGCCACATACTGCGCCGTCTCCTCGCCAAATACCTCAGCAATCCACGCAAATGTCACATCAATCCCAGCCGAAATACCAGAGCTCGTCCAGATATTGCCATCCACGACCCAACGAGCCTTTGCAACCCACTCAACATTCGGATGTTTGGCTTTGACCTTGCCGAAGAGTGAGTAACGAGTCCGAAGTGAGGAGAGGAGATGACAAGTCGGTTCACTTACATCGCCGAACGCGCGCTTGTTAGTCGTAGCCCTCCTACCATCTAACAAGCCAGTCCTAGCCAATATCTCACTCCCCGTACAAACAGTAAGAACCCACTTTACACTTCCCTTGCCGCTCAAATCCAATCTCTTGAGATACTCGACCTGTGGCTTCATCCACTTGTCGCTCTCCGGTCCCCTCGATCCCAGACCACCTGGGAGGAGCAGCACCTCCAGATCATCCGGTGCGTTGTCGAATGTGTGAGTCGGGATTATGGACTGTGAGAATTGGGAGCCTTGCTTGTCTTGCAAGCTGTTCTGGGTTGGCACTGGATCTAGTGTTGCGGCTATGGTGCAGAGCGTGAGGGAGTGGTCGGTGGAGAGGATGTTGAGGGCATCTAAGGGGCCGGCATAGTCGAGTAGGTGGAAGCCGGGGAAGATGATGACTCCGACCTTTGAGGGGAGTGAGTTTGCTGGCATATTGAAGGTTGGAGTAAGGGACCGTATTGGCAGGTGCACTGGTCAACGAAGATGAGACGTTGGACGGGCAATGATGCCGTGTTATAGTTATGTTGACTGTTCGCGATTAATGCTGATATTGGCCTGTGTACTCGAGACATTGTGGGAGTGCAACCATGGAAAGTAGGGCATTGGTAATCGGCCGGGCTTGGTATCCCAGTGGGGGAATCTTGGAAGCGGAGTAACCCGTGGACGCCTTAGACGCTAACATCCGCATGCCGATTGATTCATAGGGCATCTTTGTGCTACAAAACATAGTGATGATGGCTCCACGGCCGGGAGCATTGCTCTATACGTATATCACAGGCTCATGCTATGAGCACGTTCAAAAATCGCAATACGAGTACACCAATGCGGAGAGAGCGAATAATATTGCTATTGAGATCTACACCACACCGTTCATGTGTACGCCCTGCGCATCTTGTTGCTGTACCGTAAGCATCTGCCTTGCCCGGTCAATTCTCTCCTTTGTCATGATGTAGCTCTTGGGGATGTCTCCCTTCTGAACCATCTCCTCGTGCACGGCGGTCAGGTCCTTGCCGTCGCTTTCGCCCAGTACCATATCGACAATTGCCTTGCCGCATAATGTACCGTTCGGCATACCGTGTCCTGTGTATCCGCCGGCCAGCCATAAACCGTCTCTGTCGGGCACCTTGCCCACCCATGGGTGGTCGTCACGAGAATATCCCATGATTCCAGTCCACTGTGCCGCAGCCTTAAGCTCATGTAAGCCCTCAGTCTGCCCTCCCAGGTTTAAAACCTTTAATAGAGCACCGCGGAGGTATGCAGCGGAACCTTCGTCAATCACGCTGTCATCCGAGACGCCTATGCTTGGGAAGTCTCCAGCTCCGCGGCCGCCGCCGAACATCAGATGACCACCGGGGTTTGGAACGCCCTCGAATGGGCGCTGGATGAGGTAGTCGTCGTTGTTTTCTGGCTGACCGAGAGCCCCAACCATACCGTACGAGTCTGGTAGAAGGGTCGATCCTTCAGGTGGGAAAAGGGCTGACATTTCCCCACGACAGGGCACGATGAGATCGGCGAAGTGAGGCAATATAGCTGATGTGTATCCGTTTGTTGCGAGGATGACGGTCTTGCTGCTGATGGTGCCGCGGGGTGTGTGGAGGGTGTGCGTGCCATCTGACGAGGTAATCTCGGTGACGGGAGTTTTGGTCTGTAGATTGAGGCGGCCAGTCTTGATAAGCTTCTTGAGGACGAACGTGACCAGCTTGTATGGCCACAAACTCGCAGCTCCTTCACTCAGCGTCGCTCCGACACAGTCGGGCGAGACGCGATGCTTCCTCAACTCCTCCTTGTCCTTGATAATCGTGACGTGGCGTGCGATCTCGGGCGCTACCACCCTGAGATGCTCGATTTCCTTCTCAGCCTCTTTCATTGCACCTTCTGTCCAGAATGTGCGGCAGCCTGTTACGTCGCGCCACTCGCATGATACGCCATTGTCTTGGATGTATGATTTGACTGCGGCAACGTTCTTGAGTTCGAATTCAGCGACGTCGCTGCTTCGGTCGAAGAGGAGAGGTTGGCAGTGACCACCGTTCTGTTTGCGCGACCGTCAGCAAGTGTGCGCCATATGTTTTGTTCGACTTGAGTACGAAGTATAGACGCAGTCGTCTTACCCTTCCTGTAGCGCCCCAGCATGCCTCTCGGGCCTCGAGCAGGACAATACTCTTGCCAACAGCCCTTTCGTCTTCCGAAAGATATCTCGCAGCACTTGCGCCGGTTATACCAGATCCCACGATAACGATGTCAGCCTCGGCGGGCAATTCCTCTGTCGTACAATGACCCAGTAGAAACTCATTCGGCTCGCTGTGCCAGAAAGAGTCTGACGAAGTAGGCGTCGGAAGCGTGGCGCGTTCGTGCTTCATGGTGGGTTCGAGGATTGGGGAAGGTAGCGGGGGGAGGTTTGGAGATTCGGAACGGATTGCGATTGACTCTTAAATACGTGAACTGTTCGGTGCCAGCACTGAAGGATGAGTCGATGCGGTGTGACGAACGATAACCCCCCGGGCTCGGAATGCGTATATTTGTACCGAACGATGATCAACCTCAAGGCGGCGTGACTGAGGGGTGGTGGGTCATCCTTCGGGGTTCGATGCAGCAGATTAGGCTACCTGGGGCATCATGTCGTTACTCCGATGATAGGACATGGCGACGAGCGGATTCCGAACGACGCGTATCAATTGTCGATATCATCGTCGCGTGTTTGTCGCGAGTATCGCAGAGGCACAGAGCACAGGAAGACATGACGGTACTCACTGCAGCGGTGAGATCGTTTGGTACCTGATACATGGCATGGCAGGTGCGGGACCGGAGCAGACGCCGCGAGTCAGTAGGGCTGATTATGTAAAGGAGCTGCGCAAATCCACTCCGAACTCTCTGACATGCCATACCATCTTTACTGGCATCGAACGACTCTGTTGTTTGGTTTTGGTACCAAGGTATGGTTCAACGTGGAGCCGCGCCACTCTAGCATGCGAGCACATCTGACAAACGTGGCATCACGGCATGCGACACATGGCGTTCGGTATGGTAACGTCAAATCGCATGCTTAAAGCTAATGTACAACCAAGGTAATGACAGTAAGAACGCGAGTGAAGATAGCGACAACAACGCCGCCATCTGCCCAGTTGCCCTGCTCGCCTCCCAGTAAACCCGCTAACCTCGAAACAAATCCGTTCAGCCATATCATTATCGTCCTTCGTAACGTTCGTCAAACGCTGCCAGACACCCGCTAGCGAGCGTCGTACCGCCAGCAGTACTATCAGCCAACCATACTGCTTACTTCCGTCGTTGAACCAGCTCTTTTGCCGAAGCAGTCAGCGAGTACCCGTTGAACAGCCAGTCGTTCGAATGCCGTCCTTTCCATGGGTCGCTTCCGCTTGTGCTTCGCCGACCTGCAGCCTGTATGCTAGGTCTGTCACCCTGTACCGGTCCTGCGGTTGGTCGTGTCGGGCTGATAGGGCTTGTAGCGGAAGCATGCCTTTGTGAGTAAGGTGCTTGCTCGGGTGGCATGACCATGGGCGACTTGGAGCGTTTGCGAGACGTAGCTCCACGAGAGCGACTCCGCGAGCGACCGCGGATGCGTGCTGAAATGGCGCCGAAGAAAGATGCTTCGGTCGGTGAAGCTGTTGCGCGGGCCGTTGGTGATGCTGGGGAATAGGGTGGAGATGTTTGGCCCGACGACGACCGTGACTTCTGCGAATCGACAGTGTTTGTCCGGATTGGTGGCGGCATGGGTTGATTGTGGGAAGTCATGTTGATGGCTTCACAAAGAGATCAAGAGATGTTTGCAGAGTCGTATTCGTCTCGATGTATAAGAGTAGTAGCGTATTGCAGGCGAAGATGACGACGGATGACTGCAGACGCCAGGTGTGAGGCTCAAAGGTCAGGCTGTCAGCACACTATATAATACCTGCGCCGCAAAACATCCTCGTCATTTCCTTTCATGTGTGTCCTCAGCACATACTTGGCGCATATCGCAACTCAATCAAGATGTCGGTGACTTGTTACAATCTCGCAACATGGCGTCCAATCAGACGTCTTAAACTTCAGGCGGGGCCTCCAGTTCGCCATGTTCCTCAGGTGAGCTCACCGACTCCCCACTTCGGAGCGAGCGTCTGAAGCCCCGCAGTGCACTGCAAAGCCAACGCATCCAGCCGAAGAGCCAGACCATCAGAGGCTCCGATGGCGATATAGGGCTAGCCGCAAGCCAATCAATGCAGATGATATGCCTCTGAACCATGATTTTGGGGTCACCGGTTTTGAGGGGTGCGAAGGCTTGTCCCCGCCAGAGTGGTTAGGTCGTGCTCTTTGGAGCTTGTCTGTGCAATCAATGTGCCAGCTACTACTTCTCTATCCAGCACGCTGGTAACGTCGGAGTAGAGCGAGATCATCAATAGCTGTTACACAATGTTGCGTTGGACTGACACGGAGCTGCAAAGTTCTGCAGGAATCCGTGTCCTCCAGGACGGCAACGTACGTGTTATCAGTCCAGTATGCGAGCTGAACTGATGTGCACGTCTCATGTTAAAAAACAAGCTCTCGAGTACCAAGCAATGGCTCTAGGCCTGCCCACTTTGATGGCCTGCGTTGCTAACTAATCAGCCACAAGTCAGAAGCGAGATGGTGCTTGATAACAAAGGCAGCACCCCGCACTGTTGTGTTGCGCCCAAGAGTTTAGCCAGCTCTAGGCCTGCAGCACATACATAGTGATAGCAAATTCAAGGTACATTTTAGGGCACATTTAGAATATCTCAATAGGGCTTCACATCTAAAACCATCAAAAAAAAAGTTAGTTCGCGGCAGACATGTCAATCGCAAAGTCGAAACTAGACTTCGGAAACGCAAAAAAAAAAAGTAGTCAACGTTGCAATCGTGAGAAGGAGCTGTGCATCCTCCGGGAGCTATCGTATGTTAGTAAGGTGTTGATGATGATGGATGTGGAATGGAACGTACTCGAACCCGGGCCAATTGCTTGGAAGGCAATTATCCTACCGTTGGACCAAGAATGCTTGATGGAAAATCGCCCAAATTTATCGTTTATATCCTCAACAATGTGTCCAGGACTCACGGATGAGGCGTCTCGACACATCGAACATCGCATCGTTGGAAGCTGCAATTGAACCCCGCTCTCGCTTTGACCCAGCTTCCTGCATTTGTTAGACGCCCCACTTCATGCAACACCAATTCCAGCTCGCTAAGTCTTGCCTTGTCAATAGTTAGCCCCGTGTTTCGTTCGGATTAGCAGCCGTTCTAAAGTCTGATGTGGTATTTTCGAAGGTCACGACCAACACGTGGACGTCAACAACCAGCGAGTCTCCACTTTCTCAGCTCAACCACATGGTAACCAGCGCATATTCTTTACACAGACACTAGGCAATTTGATGCAAGACTTCTCATTGAATCCTACACACACATCTACTGACTCTATCATCACCCTC